CCACACGCTATGAGAGAATGCCATAGAATGATCATACAACAGGTGAAGAAATACTCTATAAAAGCAAAAAGCTTTGAAGGGACCTTAAAGGTAACCTAATCCAACCCCTTGCCAAAGCACAAAATCCATACTATTACTATAGCATCCCTGTTAAGTAGCCATCCAGCCTCAGCTTAAAAACCTCTATCAAGGAAGTAAGCCAGTGTAGTGTAATGATTAAGAGCCCAGGGCTGGGAAACAGGTCATCTGGGTCCACTTGACCATGAAGCTCAGTGGGTGACTTTGGGCCAGTCAAAGACTCTCAGCCCAACCTACCTCACAGGCTTGTTGTTGTGGGGATAAGATTGAGAAGAGTAAGAATGATATAAGCTGCTTTTTTCTTTAAAGGAAAAAAGGTGGGACATAAATCTAATTAATAAATAAGAGACTACCATCATCCAAGTTAAACTGTTCCACTGTAAAACAACTCATATTGTCTAGAAATTCCTCACAGTGTTTCATCAAAGTATACTCTCTTGTAGTTTGATAATACTGCATTGGGTCCTACTGTCTTGCTTAATTTGTCTGTCCTAAGTCTACTTCCAAGAATGCTCCCACAAAAAGAAATACTGTTTAGTTTGCCCTAGGATGTGTAAAATACTATACAATTATAATGAGACCATATGTGATTTCACAGACAATCTTTTTGGTAGTTTATATCCCCCTTCCCTGCCAAAACACTTTCCCCATTTCTCACCTCTCTGTCCCTGATTTAAGAGAAAAGATAAGCACTATCTCTGGAAGATAAGCTTGGAAATTAAAATGCTGAACCTTGCCAAATACAAGACAACAATGTGGCTCTGTGAAGAGCTCCTTATGCAAAACTCATGCATTTAACATTCTACAAGTTTGAGATTATACATCACTTAGCTACATGAAGTCTAGCTAAATCAAAAATAAAGTTAGACACCAGAAAGATGGACTGAGAAGGAAGATACCTTGGTCAAGCCCAGGTTCTTCTGAAAGAGATATGTGTTCTGTTCTAGCCAGGAAGTGGAGCCACATCTCAATGGCAGAGCACCTACTTGGTACACACAAAATCCCAGGTTCAATACATGGCTTTCTCCAGTAAAAATAATCAGATAGTAGTTGTTGGGAAAGTCCCTTCTTTCCCTCCAAGACTAGAGAGAGTTTGACTCTATGCCAATCAAAGTCCTGGGCTAAACAGATCAAAAGTCCAACCACAGTATTATCAGGAGACTTCCAAAAGGAAGAACATTGATAAAGTAGCATTCTCCCATATACCCAGAACGTTAGTCAAGCCAACAAAGGACACTAACCAAAGGTGCTCATGCAGAATATCAGGTTTATGAAGCACGAGCAAGACCAAACAAGTCATTTATAGGCAGCCATACACCAAACCATAAGAATGGGACCATTTCACAAATAAATTTTTGCCCAAGCATTCCTTCATAGATACATGGGGATGTCACACTTTATTATTTACCTGTATGGCTATCTTGCTGTTTAGGGAGAGAATTTGTTCCATTTTTTTTCCTGCATGGAAACAATACTCCATGCAAGAAAACAGCTGTGAGTTGTAAGGCCCGAGTGCTTCATCAAGAACAAACAGAAAACACCAAGCCGTGACAGAGTGCCTTTTATTTTAGAGGTATGTTCAATGCAACTAGGGCATTTGTATTTCACAGCTACACCACTGATGCCCGGCAAAGAAGGCAGGACTGTTCCGGAAGGTTTTTAATTGATTTCTATCTTGGCTTCATCATCTTAGCAATGTTTACCTCCGTGACTGCTATTTTGCTTGATGCTATTTGATTCCGTTGTAAGTGTGTGTATTTTTTTTTCCTATTTATTACGTAAACAGCCTTGAATTCACTCTGTGAGATAAGCATGCTTAAATTAATTTAAATAGAGCTTTTTCAGAACAGGGAATGCAAACTAAGGATACATTTTCTGCTCAGTCACAGCACTGCCACATATTGACTTTATTTTCATATCATTCAGGTAATGACAATATTTTATTATCAGTTCCATTTGTGAATCACCTTTCTGTGAGCAGCCAAAGAATGTGCAGGGAAAAAAACAAACAAACAAAACCCTGAAAACATTTAAACTACAATAACAAATATCCCACTGATTTAACTGCTAAAAAACATTAGAATGCATTAACAAGACATTTAAATGAAGAAAGGAAAACAGGTGGTGTGGCAGGCCTCCTAGAATGTGTTCCAGAGCTGTTGCACCACTACTGAAAAAGCCCTGCTCCAAGTGCTGTGGAATTTCCTCTCAAAAAAGGATATCACCCAGAGCAGAGTAGCCAGCTGAATGGACTGTGTGGACTGCGCAGTGGTGGTAGGTGGACGTTGTTGTTTCCTACAAGTATGCTGGGTCCACACTGCAAAAGGCCTCATGAGTGAACCATGAGCATGCGGAGTCCAGCCTGGATCCTGACAGAAAGCCATTCAGACTGGCATTTCTGTACAAGTCCTGTGCTACTACTGGTCAATAAATGAGTAAACAAAAAGTGTGTTATAAGTAAGGAAACTGCACACATTCCTTTCAAAGCTAGATACTCCAAGGTTCTCATTTCAAACCAACTGTGAGAACTCATTGAGAACCAGTCGAAAACAGATAGGCATGCACACTTTTATATCCACGGAGAAAGAGTTGGACTTTCAAACATTTTTTGAGACCCGATTTCTTGTGTGTGCCACAGAACTCATCAACTATCATCTGGGGTGACTACAGGAGCAGCTATGAAGGTAGAAACAAAGTTCTATCATACGTTACACTCATATTGACAACAATGCCAACTTCAAAGAAACCACACTAGCAGTCTTCCTTGCCACCACATAGAAGAATCCATCACTTTGCAAACAGACATTCTTTACAAAGTACCCTCAGACGGTACATTGACAAAACCCACATAGGTAGCAAATACACTAGTGTTCCAATCATGCTGTATTTTCCCTTCATATGGCTTAAAGACCCCCACCTTTAAGCACAATGGTTTTATTAGGCCTAAAGACACCTATTGGAACTGAAGACCTGCCAAAATAAACCCTATTAATACTCTCTTCATCTCTACCTATCCTGAAGAAGGGAATATGTAATACAATCCAGGTGTTTCCAATAATCGTTTGCAAGTCTTACGCTGCTCCCAAGATGAAAATGCATGCGTGTGTACACCTTCCACTTCTGTGAGTAGGACCTTGTGCTCCTATAACTGTTATTAGAAAGTGGGAAAAATACACACAGCTCAGGTGTTGTGAGGCCAACAATAAAGTAAGAAGTCCCTAAAAGTGAACTTAATGGAGGGCAGGGGAAGTGAAAACCAGGAAAAGTTGTATTAGCAGCCAGTTACAACAATGCTTAGTCAACCTTGATGTTATTCTCACCACTTCTTCCTTTGCAGGAAAGTCTTTTGTTTTTGTGTGTAGGGTGTTGTGGTTGCTACTCTGTATGGATTATGTTTGTTTTTAGTTGCTCAAAACAGCTTTCTGTTGAAAGGCAATCCATAAATAGTGTAATTATTAAAAATAGCATTACTACATTACACTGAAGTCCATCTCATCTAGCATTTTGTTTCCAACACAAGTTGGCCATATGTCTCTTAGCCAATCACATGAACACCATGAAGATATTTATCACTGCCATATTATGCCCACAGCAACTGGTACTGAAAAACCCACTGTTTCTCTAGACAAGTCTTCAGGTTAGCTATCAGTGCCTAATAGCTTCACTGATCAGTAGACAATTTCCATGAACTGGTCCAGTTATTTCTAAAGCAGTTCAAAGCCCCCTTGTTCATATTCTCAGTTTTGTGGTTTCTTTCCACTGCAGCATAACCTTGTGCAGCTGGGGAACGTGTGCATACCCAACTGATGGAAAACGTGTACTAATGGGGGTCTTTCCAACACCATTTTATATTCACTCACACTGTGAGATCCGGCTAAGAAAACCAACTCTCACACTGATGGGTCAACGTGCACGGAAGAAGTCTAAACTAATGGCTGTTACAACTTGTGGCAGTGAATTCGTGTGCCAATGAACTTTGTTTTGTAAGCTGTGAGCTTATTGCCACTGAGTATCACTGGTTGATTCCAGCTTTCAGTACTCAAAAACAATGAAGAAAATATTCCCTGATTCTATAGCTATGGGGGGTCACCTATGCTTTTGCCAGAGAAGTGGCCACTAGTTTTTGTTTGTTTGTTTGTTTTCCCCATACAAGACCAAACTCATTCCTTTTTTGAATGAAGATGCAGGAGAACAAAATGAACTGAATTCAACATCCACTTTTTAGAAATGAAGCAAGAGTACAACTCAACTACAACAAGAAAAACAGCAACATTAATCTAGTCAACAATGTGTCCAAGGCAAAGTCCAATCGTAATTACTTCACAGTCATATAATACCAACAGCATGCCAGTCATGGGTTATAAGGCGAGAGAGAGATGGATTCTGATCATACGGTATACATTCCCACAAAATCCTCTAATCTTCCATGTGGCCAACGTGCCACATGAATCATACTGTCAACAAAGTTGTAACCCATCAACCTTTTCCCATAAGTGACCCTTCAAGATGCACTCAACTATCCCATTTTCATATAAGCTAGGAGCACTCACCTGCATTCACATACTTGTGGCATTAACAGCCTAAGTTCTACAAAATTACTCCCTAGCAAGTGACTTTAGGACTGCAGTCAAATGCATTTTGTCTCAGTCACACTCTTGGTGAAGCTTGCACCATGATAAAGAAACAAGCCAAAATTCTCTAGCTATGCCTCACACGGGCAAAACTGAAACGTTATAAACAAACTGCAAACAAGGGCCTAAGCATGAGGCCTACCCCCCCACACACTCCACACGCACACACACTTCCAGTTTGCATCTGGAACTTTTGTGTACCTAATCAAGCCAAGCTTTGTGCTGCTGAACTCTGGGCAATACAGCACAGGCGTTTGGAACACAATGCAGACAGGAGGATACACCACTTACCACGTGCTCGGTGATAATCTCATGTATTTCTTATGGCAGATCATGAAAGTCAGCACACAAGCCCACATAACTTTTCTTCCCGCCACCCAGATCTACATAAAACGAAAACTGTTCAGAGCTTATATAAATCAGTTACAACTTCCTTTACACAAGCAACAAAAAATGAGGAAGTACATGTAAGCATCAGAAACTCCACCAGGACATTTTCCACACCAGCTCTGTCCAAAGTTTTATGGAAAACTGATCATGCTCCAGAATATCTATGGCAAGGTGTTGTGTTTTGTTCCTGCCCATTTCACTTTAAAACTCACTGGGCAATGCACTTTGCCAGAGCCATCTTTAATTTATACTTTCTCTCCACGTCACCGAACAGTAATAAAATGAATATTTTCCCACTGCTGGCATATAATAACCATCTATTATTCCGTATTGGAACTGTGTCCCTCAGCCTTAAGCTTGCAGAGCAACCAAAAGTACATACAAGCCATTACAATTACAACCTGTTCAATTACATTTTCTAAGGCTGTTTTACATGTGGACCAGGATCCCAGAAATTGGTAAGAAATCCTGAGTTCAAACTGGGGCCTATATGTCATATATACACATCTGCTGTCCTAGATTAATATTCTGTCCGATTTTGAAGTGCCAACATTCCGCCCACAATTATACTAGAAAACTGCTCCACAACAACTTTTAATATTTTTAAGGACTCCTTCAATCCCCTCCCCCTCTAGCTTCCAACTTTCCATTCTTCACAGCAGGTAAAAGCCAAACGACAGGAGATTCCAGAGTTTATATTTGCAAAAGAAAAAAGGCCCTAAGAAACTGGATGTCTTCTTTTCTTATTTTATAAAAAGAAAGAGCAACTGCTGTGAACACACTCCCCTCCTCCTCCAGCATTACAGACACATTTCTTCCCCTCCCCCATCTCTCCTTGCAAACATGCATTTAAGACCGGAGCCCAGCAAACAAAACTTTCCTCCTCCCCCCTGAAAAGCAGAAGAATCCTACTGACCTTTTAAAAAAATAATAAAAACCACTTCCGAGTATGGTCCTGTCCAGGCACAGATGTATGTGCGTTTTCTTCAGGCAGAGGATTATAGATATATAGATATATATATCCCCCTACACACAAACACACACACAAATGCAAGGAAATATAAAGTGTCCTTTCTTTGAAAAAAAAAAGTCTAAAAATAGGCTATAAAGCCAGCTTCCTTCATAATGGCTGCTTGCATTTATTTGCTCGATTCTTTTTTTTTTTTTTTTTTTCCTTTCAAAAAACGGGGAAAAAAAAACCCCCCCCCCCCCCCCAACCACAAAAAAAAAAAAAAAAAAAAAAGGAGGTCAGAGGCTGGGGGAGGAAATCAAAACAGCAGCAGACGCAAGAGAAGCAGCGATCGAAAAAATATCAAAGTTAAAAGCCACCGACTTCCAGGAAGGGGGAGGGGGCCGGAGAGACCGAGGGCCAAGTTGAAAAATGCACGTCCCGCTCCGTCCCCTCCCCCACGCGCCCTCCGCCGGCTCGCGGCGAGCGCGGCCCCCCCCGCGCCGACCCGGACCCCCCGCCCGCGAAGCCGCCCCCGTCGCCCCTTCGCATCGACTTTCTGCGGCGGGGCTGCGCTGCAAACGGCCGCGGACCGAGCCGGGGAGAAGGACGCGCCGCGTTCGGAGAACACTCGCCTCTTACCTTGCAATGGATGGCTGAGTTTTCTCACCCCCTCCTTTTGCAATGGAGGCAAAAGGGAGCGAAGGGAAGGAGGGGAAAAAAACCCACATATATATATATATATATATATATAGAGAGAGAGAGAGAGAGAGAGAGAGAGTTATAGAAATCTAGATAATGCAGCTTCCGCCTTCTCTTTTAGATGAATAAATCTACCTATATGTGTGTGTGTCTATATTATAGATATATAGATATATATAGATACAGGGACTTGCAATCGCTGATGCAGTCTCCTCCCCACCCCCACCGCCAAAAAAAAGAGAGAAGGGGAAAAGAAAGGGGGGGAAGGCCACAAATAGCCACCAGAATGCAATGTATTCAATTATATCCCAGCCTTGGGTGAGGTGTGCGTGGAGAGTGGGGGAGGGGATTGGGGGAGGGGTGGGGAGGTGGCTGGGAGGGGGTGGGGAGAGATTACAGATTAAGTCTCGGGGAAGGAGGAGGCGATAAAAAAAGGTCCTGTTTTTCTGTTCGCGTGTGCGTGTGTGAGTGTGTGTGATTTAGATTGAAGAGGAATTGAGGCAGAATCTTAAAGCTGTTACTAAGGGAAGAAGCCAAAACGGTTCGGGGCAGCCAACGGCTCTCAGACACTCAGCGCCGGGGAGAGGAAGGTGGCCGGCCGTGCAGAAATGAGCGGGGAGAAAGAGAGGCGCGCGCCGGCGCGTGCGCGCGCGCGCGCGCGCGGGCCTAGCGAGGCAGGGAGAAGGCAGGCGGGCGGGCCGGCCTCCTGCTTCGCTTCTCTCGCTGGCTTCCTGCGAAAATAGACCAGTCTGCGCGCAGCAGCGCAGGAGAAGGGACGTACATTCGGGGGGCCGGGACTGTAAAAAGTGGGGGAGGGTGAAAAAGCAAAAAAACAAAGAGGCTTTAATGCGCGTACGCACGCACGCACGCACCAAGTTGGCGAAATGTAAGAGCCGCCGAGGGGGAGGGGAAGCCTTGCAAGGATAGCTGGAAGTGTGCTTTGGTGCTTGTGCAAAATCTCGCCGGAGGAAGAAAAAATAATGCGTTGCCACCCTTCTCTCCAGGGAGCATATCGGTAATTCTAAGGCTCCTGGGAAGAGGCGGGGAGAACAGGAACCCGCATACTGTTCCCCATGCTGCCTTTTCCAACGTGCATCACCAGAAAATGGTTTGCAGGGGGTGCAAAGCAGGAAGTAGTGGGAGGGAAAACTAGAGGGGAGCAATACTTTGGTTTTATATTTTTCTACACAAATAGATTTCTGTTATGTGATTAGACTATATATTTAGGGAGGTTATCTTTGGGTTAGAGAGAGCTTTGTCCATCCGGCCATACAGAAATGCAATGGAGTAGCTCCCACCACCATATCGATGATGTATCTATGAAGAGGGGGAAAAAGGTGATCAGTAAATTTGGGATTTACCGTTTGCCAAACAAAGCTTGCACGTGGGAGGGTAGAAGGCTCGTGTATTTGGGGTACACACCACCAATGTGGGAAGGTCAAAAAGTTCTGGGCCCATGAAAAAGAAAACATCTCATTCTAAGCACACTGTTGTGAGCAGCCAACAGCTTCAAAGCGGGGTACTTTGGCTTGTACTTAAGGTCCCAGAATGAATTCTTGGTATCTCCAGTGGAAAGGTTCAGAAAACCTGTGCGCCCTCCAAGTAGTCAATGATGGGCTAGTTATGTCCCTGAAGTTGCTGAGATAGACCAAATCTAGATGAGTGCAGATTGTAATGGAGTTTAACAGTTTGCTTGCCCTGATTTAAACAGAGGCCTAAGAATAGATCTCAGGGGTCATCTCAGAGGGTCCCCAACTAGGGCTGGAGTTGGAAATAATTCGTGGAGAGGCCATCAGTCCCACCACCCTGTTGTTCAGGGGTAGTTACCAAAATAAAAGTTAAGGGCCCTGAGGACTGTGAGTCACCTGAGCAGGCTTCAGCCCCTGCTGCCTCCACTTTGAAGCTTTCTGCAGAAGTGTTTTCTTGAAATTGTATGCCTTCCTCTTCCAGGTATACTCACTTTTTACAAAAGGGGTGTCCTTAAGAGACAGGGTCCTTTAAAAAGACACCCACATTCAAACACACACAGAGACATTAGAACACAAGTAATTTGCATATGCAAATTTGTGGGTTCTTTTTTGGTCCTGTAGGTCTGGAACCTGATTGATCTAGGTGATGGAAAGCAAAAAAGCACCCTCTTTTCAAAGCAGAAGGCCAAAGCAATGTGCAATGAGCAGAAGGAAGGCATTGTTCAAGCTCTCCTTGAAGCAAACCGCTAGCAGAGCATTCAGAGGGGAAGGGAGTGGAGAACACGCTGCCTGGGGGAGGGGAAGTCCATTACTATGACACACAGAGAGAAAAACACAAGGGAGCCAGGAAATTGCATTAAGCAGATCAAATCATTATTTGGTGTTCTGCACATCTGAAATGAAACGTGCAAATAGGAAAAAAGCAACTACAGAGTGTGCAACCAGGAGGGCAAAGTATAATGACGAAGCATGGGGGGACATACCCTCTGCAAAAGGTTATTTTAAAAAACAAACAGCCTACAAAATACAGGGGGAGAGGGTATTGCTACGTATTGCACAATGAAGTTTCGGTGGAGAATCCAGGCTGCCAGGAATGGTGTTGCAACACTGTGTGAAATTAGGGTCCCAGTCCTTAGGCCTGTTTCTGACAGTTCAGAACATGAGAACCTAAGAAAAGCCCTGCTGGATCAGACTCAAGCTCCATCTAGTCCAGCACTCTTCCCATGCCCACAGGATCCCACAAGCAGGACGCCTGCAAGACCTCCTGCCCAAGCTTGCCAGCACCTGGTGCATGCAGGCATGCCGCCTCTGCTGAAGGAGGGAGCACCTGGCCAGCAAGGCTAGTAGCCACTCATAGCCTCCTTGCTCGTGATTCCTTTTTAAAGCCTTCCAGATCGGCCTCCATCGCCACTTCCTGTGGCAGCAAAGTCCATAGTTTAAGTATACGCTGTGTGTAGAAATAACTCCTGTTATCTGTCCTAAACCTTGCACTAATCAGCTTCATGAGATGACCCCAGGTTCAAGTGTTGTGGAAGGGGGAGAAGAATCTCCCTCCACTTTCAGTACTCCATGCATTATTTTAAATGCCTCTGCCATGTCTCCCTTGACTCGCCTTTTTTCCAAGCTGAACATTCCCAGGTGTCATAACCACTCCTCACAGGGGAGCAACTCCAGCCCTCTGATCATTTTTGTGGCAATTCCTTGTACTTTTCCCGACTCAATTCATTGTATTGTGCATATTTATATTCCACCTTTTTCCCTCCAAGGAGCCCAAAGCAACATTCATGGTCTTCATCCTATCTTAATTCTCAAAACAATCCTCTGAAATAGCTTTGGATGAGAGCCAGTGACTGGGCCAAAGTCACCAAGGGAGCGTCATGACCGAGTGAGGACTAGGGCCTGGAACTCCGACGCCCCAGCCCAACGTACTCTAACCACTGTACCACACTGATTCTCCGTTCTTGGCCACATGCAATTGCAGGGCCACCAGTGGGCTCACAAAAAGACCGGTTCTAAAAGGATAGCCCACTGATATGGGAGAGGACCCCAAGTCCTCGCAGCCTTACCTAACAATAGCAGTGCCTTGCAACAGCTGAACTCCAAATTCTGCCAGGACCTGCGTGCTGCCATTTTAATCTTCCCACAATGCCCCTGGTGTGGTGTTGCTCCAGGCCACTGTAGGGAATTTGAAATGGCAGGTCTTGCGTCCAGCTCTGCAATGCTCAGAACTCCAGGGGGGTGGGGGAATTAAATAGGATTCCAGGAGAGCCTTCTCATGGTGATACTGCCAGCTCAGTGTATGTGCCCCTTTTTTGGCAGTGGGGAGGGGGGCTGCCATGATTACAAAAAGCTTGACAAGTACCTGCTTCTCTAGGACGCTTGCTTGCTTGCTTGTTTCTTTTGCAGCATATGCATGTTCTGGGGTTAGCTGTGGCTTCCCAGCATGCACACAAGTTGTGGGATTGATTAGCAGAAGATTCACATGTTTCCCATACAGCTGCTGCTTTAATTGTGGTGATATCCCATATGCCTTGCAAGCAAATGGCAATGCTCTACTATTGGGAAAATGCCATTCCTGCTCCCATCCCACCTCATCATCCCCACTGCACTATAAAGTTTTTTACACTGCTTGTCATTTAGAGACTGCCAGTCAGTATTTCAGATTTCCCCAAGCTGAT